CTAAACCCTAAACCCTCAAGCCGAAGCCTACTTGCAGGGGCACCTCGAGGATGACGCGCTGGCAAAGCGTCTCGGACCTGTTCAGGATCAAGGTTTCAAAACGGTTTCTTTCTTTACCCATAGGCCCCATAGGGTTTAGGGTTTAGGGCTTAGGGTTTAGGGGTTTAGGGTTTAGGGGCTTAAGGTTTTAGGGTTTAGGGTTTCAGGGTTTAGGGTTTAGGGTTTTAGGGTTAGGGAATAGGGTTTAGGGTCCTTTTTGGGATTACCTTATAGGATTCTAATGATGAGCCCCCTTAAAGGAACAACTATGGGGTGTGTGGGTAGGGCTTCGTTCTGTAACCCTTAGCATCAACATAGCCCAAAAGCCTTATAGGTTTTGGAGATTCTATAAAGGACCGGCGGTTTTGGGTTGTGGGTCTAGAGGGTTTTTTCGGTTCTGTAAGCCTTAGCATCAAAATAGTCCAAATTGCCTTATTCAATAGTAATAGGGTCTTTGGGCCCAAGGGCCTTAAACGTATGAGTCCTTTGAGGGTAAGGGTAAACAAAAGGTTTTGGTTGCTCTATAAGGGGTCTGCAGTTCAGGGTCTCGGTTTAGGGTTTAGGGTTCAGGATTTAGGGTTTAGGGTAGATGGCTTGTTGCGATTTATGAGGGTTCTAGCGGGCTTTTCCGGTTCTGCAAGGGTCGCAGAGGGTTTGGCAGGATGTGTAGAGAGCTAGGACATTTCCAGGTGTTATAGGAGCCTTATAGAAGGTCAATATACCGTATGGAAGTTGTATAGAAGCCCTACATACCCTAAACTCCCCACCTGTAGTTTCCTTTAATCTAAGGTTCGAAGTATGGGCCCCTAATATGGACCCCTAGGCCTTTCGAGGGACCCTTAAGGGTACATATAGGGTATATAGTAGGTATATAAGGATCCCAGGGTTAAGGGCCCACCCTAGGGGCCCATGGGCCCAACCTTAGATTTAAAGAGTGAGCATGTCAAGGCTTCTTTCGTCATCGCTCACGGGCCCATTTCCTCAAACGAGAAGCCCCACGCGCTAGAATCGTTCCCAACCTGAAACCCAGGCCATGTCCTAAAACGCTAGACCCCACACACTAAAAACCTTCCCAATCTGCAATCCGAATCCGAAATCCTGCGCCTAGGATCTGGGAGAAGTTCACCTTCATTTGCTCGACCACGGCCGTCCAAGCCACGACAGGGCCCCATGCGACGCAGGACGTGATCCCTCAGTGACCCAGCTGCACAGGGATAGTTGTAAGTTTGAGTTCGTTCAATGACCGTGGTTTTCCCTGCGTGGCTACTCGTAGCATGTTATGCCAGTCAGTGGGCATGTAACTTTAGAGCAACCACCTCTGAGCAAGTCAGCTTTAGGCGTTGCATAAAGACAACGCAGGATGGGGACATTTCGTTGAAGACGGACCGCCAAACCCTGTACTTCAAAGCCGTACTCAACCTTTTAACAGCTTCCTATCCCACATATACCCTCAACCGGATTTAGGGGTTTGGGGTCTGTAAAATCATCTAAGCTGAAGCCTGCGCACATCCTCAACCCAAAGCCCTGGCTAGACCCTGGTTTAGGGTTTAGGGTTTAGGGTTTAGGGCTGGACCTAGACTGGAAACCTTATTATTCTAAGCCTTGCTGATCCTCGACGAAACACGAACTTCGATGCAGAAAGAAGCCCTTGACCCTAAACCCTTAACCCAAGCCCTACAGCCCTCATCCCAAACTCCTGAACACCCAACCCCCGAACCCTGAACCCTGTACTTACATGATTCAGCAGCGTTAAAACCCTAAACCCTAAACTGTGAAGCCCCACATGGTTTTAGGGTGCGAGCCTCCAGAATCCTTTTGAGCTTGACAACACATAGATTGTACCTAAGGAGGTAGGCAGGGAGATAGACAGGTAGGCATGTTCTGTATGATTCGTGGGGATCTATGCATGTTATGTCGGTGATATCTGTAGGTATGTCTGTTATGTATGTTATTTTCGTATTGTGTGAATGTATGTGTGTATGTACGGATGGCTGGCTGGATGGATGGATGGATGGATGGACGGAGGGATGGATGGCGGCTGGCTGGCTGGCTGGCTGGATGGATGGATGGATGGACGAATGTGGTGTGATGGATCTGGTGTAATGGGATGCGACGCATGTGATGTATTCGATGATGCGACGCATGTGATGTATTCGATTTGTGTGATGTATCTGATGTAAGGTCATGTTGTGCTGTGCTGGTACAGCGCTATGATATGTCATGTCATGGAATGTGTTGTTGTGCTCGGTTCTTTTGTGTTCTGTTATATTAAGTTATGCCTATGTTATGTTGTTTTATGTTCTGAAGCGTTATGCGATGTTAAGTTATACCCTGCTACGATATGCCATGTTGTGTAATGTTATGTACCAAGGGGATGCAGGGCAGGACGCAGAACCCCCGAAGCCATTGACCCAATCGCCTAATCTCATAAGTTTAGGGTTTAGGGTCTATGAAGTTGTAGATACCAAGGGTGTGCTGCATGGGAAAACAGTTAGGAGATCTACTTTGTGGATCTTGAAGTAGTTAGTTTTGAAAGTAACAGCTCCTCTGACACACGGCGAATCTGGTGAACCTAGAGCTCACATTTTTTTTGTTTAAGGGCTTATATAGTAGGGTTAATGGTTATATAGGGTTTAGGGTCTAGGGTTGCAGAAAATTGGTCAGAATGGAAAGCTGCCTGCATTCCCCCCGCACCCTCCTTGCCTCTGCCCTTGCACTCGTTACGTAAACCACTAAACCTTAGGCCCTAGACTCCACCTGAGGCCCGAAACTCTCAATCCTAAACCCCTAAAGCCGAAAACGCCTTGGCAAGGATTCCAGAGCTGTACTTAACTTGGCGAACTGCCATGACTGAAATCATCAATCTTTGCCACAGTACCTGGATGGCAAGGTTTGAGGGCTTCGAGTTTACGTGACGAGTCAGCAGTGTTGAGATTGACCCCGACATATTAATCCCCGGAAGCTCTATATGCCGTAATATATTCCGTCATCCTGTAATGAGGATCATCTTAGTAGAGATCCGAATGAAGGCCCAGACAAAAACTGGCTCGTTGATCCGCGGCCCACATTGAGCCGTGTAGAGGGAACATGATGTACTGCAGCCTTGCAGACACGCGACCTCGATAACACAGGGTTTGGGGTTTAGGGTATATAGGGGGTTCGCGAAAATATTAAACATTGCTTCTTCCTTAGTTTGGCTATGCCATGGTCCCCTAATCTTTCAAACTCCCCTGTAGGAATGGTTGGTTTTATCTTTCAGAAGCCCTAACCCTCCACCCTAAACCTGCAGCGCTAAACCCAAAGCCCTAAGCCGCTAATTAGTGGATGAGACTCACAGAAGGTTCCCGTAACCCTGAACCCTAAACCCTATAATTAGTTGCAGAACCACAGAAGGTTTGGAGCTTTTGGCAGTGCATGCTCCCTGTCTGGCCACACATAACATTTCGGCTCTGCCTTCACCGTCCTGCATCGTCGCCATAGTAGCCTTGAAACTCTTATGGGCACTTTAGGGTTACCCTAAACACTAAACCCTAAACCCTAAACCCTAAACCCCAAACCCTAGACCCTAGACCCTAGACCCTAGACCCTAGACCCTAAACCCTAAACCCTAAACCCTATAGGGTAAGGGAGCTGTTAATGAAGCCTTGTAGAGGGGATTGGGAGGACCCAAAGCTGACTTAGCGGCAGACTTAGGGGCTCGGGCCTAGGGTTTAGGGGTGTAAGGATCGGGGGTTTACGGTTTAGTTGTTTGAGGCTCAGAATTTAGAAATGGTTTAGGGTTTAGGGTTTAGGGTTTAGGGTTTCGTCTCCATTGTACTTCCTTTTTGGGGTTACCTTATAGGATCCTTAGTATAAAAAATGGTTAAACCAAAAAAAGGAACTACAATGGGGACTATAGGTAGGGCGTAGGGCTTAGGGGTGTAGGGATCGGGGGTTTAGGGTTTAGTTGTTTGAGGCTCAGAATTTAGAAATGGTTTAGGGTTTAGGGTTTAGAGTTTAGGGTTTAGGGTTTAGTGTTTAGGGTTTAGGGTTTCGTGGTTTGAGGCTCAGAATTTAGAAGTGAGGGGTCGTGGGCTTCGGGCATTGGGCCAAGGATCTTATAAAGGCTCGAGAGACTTAGTAGGTAGGTCATGCGTAGAACTGTAGGTAACTGACATTAGCTTATCGGAATTCAAGCCCGCTCATTGCCTGCTGGCTAATTCAGTCGCTGATCCTTTAACGTAGACCCTTCAGCAACTAATCCCTGAACACTGAAAGTCTCTAGCCCTAGTCACCAAACCCCTTTACACTGCTAGTCCCGACACCCTAAACCCTAAACCCTGAACCTGAAACCCGACACCCTAAACCTTATTAAACCTGAAACCCGACAACCTAAACCCTAAACCTGAAACCCGACACCCTAAACCCTAAACCTGAAACCCGACACCCTAAACCCTAAACCTGAAACCCGACACCCTAACCCCATATTACCCTCTGAGTCTCCACCCCTAAGCCTCTAGGCCCCCAACCCCTCTGCAGCACACCATGATGCAGGCCCCTGCCCTGTAAACCCTTTTTATCAAGGCTATGATAGGAGTCATAATATTCCCCTAAACCCTAAACCCTCAACCCTAAATAATCGGCTTCTTAATATTCCCCTAAACCCTACACCCTCGACCCTAAATAGTCGGCCTCATGATATTCGGGCTCCTGTCAGGAGTCTACATAAAGCTTCAAAGCTGAAGACCTTGAGATTTAAGGTCCGAAGCAGAGCCGTTCAACCTCAACAAACAACAATCTCCCATGTGCCGACATAATAGAGATATGTATATATATATATATATGATAGATATAATAAATATATATATATATACATACATACATACATACATACATACATACATACATACACATGTACATACCTACCTTGTATAGATACATGTACATACGCACACACTTTGTTACATATGTGTATGGATGTATCTGATGCTGTCTATGATGTGTAGATATGTCTCATATCTGGGTACCATGTCTTTAACTTTGGCCAGGGTGCATGTATCCTTGAACCTATATCCCAAAACCCTGAGCCCTAAACCCTAGATCCTCAAGCCTTAACACGGAACCCTAGACCCTAAAGCTTAAACCCTGAAGCCGAAACCCTCGACCCTGAACGCTAAAGCCCATACATCCTAACCCCACATCGAACCTTAGGGCGGGTTTCAGACGAGGTTACGGGATCAAGTACGAGATGGAACAGCTCGAAAAGCGGGTGGAGGCTCCCTCCACGCCACTGGAGTGCAGGCTTTCGGGGTTTGGGGTTTAGGGGGTTTCAGAGTTTAGGGGTTTAGGGTTTAGTCTGTTAGGATAACGGGGTTTGGGGCTTATGGTTTGTTCGCGCAGTGAGCCCATTAGCTGTCCTTAGAATCTTGTATTAACCTAATCTTGCTGCCTGACGTAACCAAGAACCTGGAAGTGGAAGCCTTATCATGTGCGATGTACCCTCGAACCTCATGAAGCCATGCTGCCATTGCCTTAGCATCCATGTGATCCAGGATTCTACAATCTGATCTACCCCGGACCCGGAAAACACTGAACTCGGTTTAGGGTGGTTTGGGATTCCTGCTCTACCCTGGACCCTGGATACACCGAACTCGGTTTAGGGTGGTTTAGGAGGGTTTAGG